TTGCCGCTGTAGCTATGAGAGTTGCCAGGCGATGTGATACGGATATTGATATTATCTTTCTTTTTATTTTTGGATGGGGATGTAGAAGAATGCGAAGCAAGCAAGAAAAAGGTAATATGAAATAGTAAGAGCCGACTGAGTTATAGTGCCTTATTGCACAAAATGGGATTCCAAATAACTGACTGCTTATTGCTCAAGAAGTGATTACCGCCCTTTTCAATATTACTTTCTCTCGTACTGGAAGTGCGATATTTTTCCATTTTTCCCTGTTATATTTTATTTTTAAATAATAATGATGTATAAATGCATGTATGTGTGTTGAATCATGTATTTCAGGCATTTGTATCTCCTTGTTTGTTTGTTTGTGTGTGTGTGTGTGTAGTTGTGAAGTGTGTCTGCCGTGGAGAGCAGTTGCTTTGGCACACTTCACATGTGATCTCGTTACGAGTAGTAAAGAAAATGCAAAGAGTATCGTTTGCAGTTTTAAAATCATTCGTTGAACCCCCATCCCTTCTACTAAGTAATAACTTCTCTTGAGAAGATGAATGAGAGCGTATTTCCATTTTTTTTTTCTTTTTTTTCACTATTCTTATGATCTGGTTTCTCATCATAACTAATCTGTACTTCCTGTCCATTAGCAGAGAAATATGTTTGGCTTTTTTTTTTTCTTTAAATATGTCTGAGTAGCAAAAATTCTTTTACTAGTTACTGTTACTGTACATCAACGAAAAAATTTGTTTTCTGTACATAAAAGATTAAAAAAACAAAAACAAAAAGGTAATACCAAGACGTCGGCATTAAAAGAGAGACTTTCTTTTTGCCATCTAATATTTATTTAAGTTGTATTTACGAAACTAAGATAATCACGAACGAATTCTTAATTTGAAGTTGCACCCACCAAAAAAGTAACGCTCTCACTTTTTTGTGTAGGACGGATCTGGAGGTTATCCCATTGGAGAAAGAGAGAGAGAGAGAGAGAGGGTAAATAAAGAGAGAGAGAGAGAGAGTAAGAAAGGAGGGTATACGGTAAAATGCGTGAGGCTAAGGGAGTTCCTGGGCTTGCGATGGATGTCGAGCCAACTGGTGCTGCGGCGATGGGTGTGGTACAAGCGAGGCAGCGCTGTTTCCTTGTGGAGAGGATGCCCGGTGCTCCCAGTCGCACTACTGAGTTTACCGACTTCGAGATGGTAATAACATCCATAGAGAATGAACGACTGAGCGACCGCACATTGCCTGACGGTGCGTGTATCTGGTTGGATCTGCAGGGAACTGGGATGGAGCAGAACCGGCGTGTGCTGCAGCTGCTCTTCCCCGAGATGCAGTCGAGTCAGATGGAGGCGGTGCTTGACGCGGACGCGGAGGATGTGGTGGAGCTGCAGCCGGTCAAGGGGCAATATCTCATTGGGAGTCTCGCGTGTGCGCGGGGGCGGGGGCGGGGTCTCTCCTCCACCTCCACAGCCGATGGAGATGCGGAGGGGGATGCCATCTCGTGTTCGTTTGCATGCAGCGAACGGTGTCTCGTGACAGTGCACACAGCCCCGTTTGTGGGTTTGGCGGAACTACTACGTCATGTGGAGGTGGAAGGAAACCGTAGACGTCAAACCCATGAATTTCCCTTTACAGATGAGATGTCTATGGATGCTGGAAGTCCATCTACTTTAGTTCCCCAAAACATGACAAGTGCTACTATTTTGTGTACATTGGTGTGTTTCACTTGTGAAGCTTTTCTTCCTGACCCAACATCATTACTCAGTGAGGTTGGCAATATTGATGAGATGGTGCTTCTGATTTCACCAGGACAACAGGATCAGGCAGATTTATTACGTCGTGTGGCTCTATTGCGTCGTCGTATCTCAAACTTTCGAACTGCACTATTCTTAAAGGAAAAACTCTTGCGGGAATTAATCGCTCCAACAATGCGTTCATCTTTTGTGGGAAAAGGTCCTGCCGTTGTGCGTACATACAAAGAGGCACTAGAAAAAGTTATGCAGGTATCAGAACGACTGGATGACACACGTGATATGCTAAATCAGGCGAATTTGAATTTTGTAACAGGTGTATCCATGAGGATGTCTCAGGCATCTGCTGGACTCGATTTCAAAATGACAGTACTGAACCAAGTGGCCGCTGTTTGCCTTCCCATTAATCTTGTTATTTCTATTTTCGGAATGAACTGTAAGGTTCCATACATAACCGATCAGAATGACACCCTTGTTCCATTTTACTGTATTTGTGGTGTACTTCTTGCATGGGCAATTCTTTGCTTGACACCATTGTTCCGTGAAGCCATTCGGGGGACAAGTTCAAGTGCAATTGCGCCATATGAGTGAAAATAAAAGAAATTTTTTTTTTTAATTCTGTTGTAGTTTTCTCTCTTTTTTGGATAGCGATGCGCAGAGTATTATTATCTTTTCTTTTTCTTTTTTTTTTTGTTTTTTCACTGGCAGAACCAGATACACGGACCTGTCCTTCGCAGGAACAAACGATATATCCCTCTATTTTTTTTTCTGTTTTTTATTTTTCTTTAAATTCCTTCTTTAGGACAAAGTGGCACACCACATTTACCCTCTGAACTTTTTTCTAACAAGCAAGATGATACGCCTTCTGTTCCATGCAGTAGTGTTGCTGTTTCTCTTTTGTACTTTCACTTGCCTTGCCGCTATACACAGCCGCTGCAGTTTTGATGATATTATGAGGACAGGCGGTAATCCTGTCTCTGTGGTGCGGGAGCTGCCCAGCAAGGGACAAGGTGCGTGGGAAGTGTATACAGCAGCCACAAGTGAAAGCTGGAAACCAATCCGCATTATTGCGTCAAGGGAAGATCTGGAGGACAGTACAAAGTACTGTACCGCTGATGGAGAGGAACGTGTGGATTATTCCAGTGGACTAGCGCTGCAATGTGCAAGTTTTGATATTCTCACTACTGCAAAGAAGAATTTGATTATTCAACAACTCCTTCCTGTGGCTATTCAGTTACATGCTGTTCGATTACTTATACATCGGGAAACAAATTCTTTGGTGGTGCCTGCATTTACCTCTCCGATCTGTCTACGTTTCACAGTTCCCGCTTCTCACCACACTACTGGAGTTGCAAATGCTGATACAGTGATCTATGTGGCTTCAACCCCAACATCTGCTTTCGAACCTTTGTGGGCTATTCCCTGTGCTCAAGTAGGTAATCGATTTGTTGCTGGTGTTATGAATATTGGTCCACTTTCTATTGATGGTACTCGAATTTCCAGTCGCCATGTTGCACATGAGATTGCCCATATTCTGGGATTTGAATATACAATGATGCACTCCCTTGGCATGACGACAAATGTATCGGGTATTCGTGGTAAGACGAATGATGTCGTTGTTGTATCATCTGCAAAGACAAAGGCGATAACGCAGACTTATTATGAATGTTCTTCCCTTGTTGGCATGGAACTTGAAGATGAAGTTGTAGGAGGTGTTGAATCACATTGGAAGCGACGCAACGCAAAAGATGAGTTAATGACTGCACCTTTTTCTGATGGTGCTATGCTTTACACAGCTATTACAATGTCAACATTTGAAGATATGGGTGTATATAAAGCTAATTGGGGGATGGAAGAATCAATGTTTTGGGGTAACAAATCGGGTTGTGACCTTCTTAATAACAAGTGTATGGATAATAATATTACCAATTACCCTGATATGTTTTGTAACACGACTTCTTCTACTGGTTGCATATCTGGTCGAAACGGTGTTGGGGCATGTGCAATTGATTCAGAGTATGATGAGGCCCTGCCCGTGCAGTATCAGTACTTTACATCTGACAGAACAGGCGGTCCATCGTACTTGAAGATGGATTACTGTCCCGTTATGACTTTGGCGACTGGTATTTTGTGTGTGAATGAAGAAGAGAACGAAGATGGTGGATTCCTCTTTGGCCCTGACTCGTGGTGTCTGGAAGGCAGTTCTCTGATACTAGAATATGGAGGATCTAACGCTCTTGTGGGGGGTGTTTGCGTGGCGGTGAAGTGTCATGATGGCCATGTGAGTGTGCGTTACAGGGGAAGTACAACGTGGATAGATTGCCCAAGTGGTGAGACCATCACTCCATCAGGAACAGGATTTGTGAGTGGAAGTATTGTTTGCCCCAATTACAATGAAGTTTGCGTTATCTCT